TGTAATGAAAAATGCCTAATGCTTACTTTTGTTGGTTTACTTTTAGTATAAATTAGGCCCAAAATAATAATTCTTTGCATAATAAATCCTATCGTTGCCTCCTTACCAACTTTTCTACCATTAAACCGCCTCTGAATAAGGGCATCCAGCAGCCCAACTAGCACTCATATTGTCACTTGGCGGGGCTAATTACATGGAGAATATTTTTAGGCCCAGACACGACGTTGATTATCTGCAATGCACGTGTCGGGTCGGGTCGGTTCGGTTCGGTTCGGTGTCTCTTTGTCTCTCTGTGGCTGTCTGTCTCTCCTCCGGTCGTTGTCTCTGCTAGCTGCTTGAGTTTGCCAAACAAAAAGAGATTTTTCGCCAAGAATGTCAAACGTCAGACGTTTTATTATCAGATTATCAACAGGTCAGGTCCGATGAGCTGTCAGCCCCCCAAGCTAATGGGGAAACCAAAGTAAATTTTGCATCACAACCGTTCATTGTGCTCTCCCCCTAACACCCAGAAAAGTGACACTGATCAAAGCAGTTCCGTTTATGCCACAAACTCATGACTCACTGGCAGAGAGTTTCCCAAGAGTGTGGGCTGGGGCTGGGCGATTGGCACACGTCATACCTGTATCATAGATAAGTCAAACATTCAATATTTGCTTAATTTAAGGTGTTTGAACTACTTGGACCGCCACTTGAAGAGAGCGCCGCAGCGGAAATGCCGCACGTACTCCTCCCATGTACAGTATTCTTGCAAATACATAGATTAGGGGATCATCTGTGGCGTGCCAGTGCTCGATGGTCCAATTAGACGCCAAGTCAACACTCAAGCAGAGAAGTGAATTTAAATAAATATAATCATTAATTTATTTCGCTAATGCTCAGGCTTCTGCCTCAACCCTCAACTTCAGTCCGAATACGAGTACGAGTCGGAGTCGGAGTCAGAGTCAGGGCTCAACCACAAATCATCAAAAGTCATTTAGCAAACATTTGAAGTTGAAAAATAGCCTTCAACTTGCTTCAATGCACTTGAAGAGAATCAACCGCAGAGCAGATGGACGGTGGCGGTGGGGAGGGGAAGGGCCGGAGCCGGGGCCCATGGCTAAAAGGTATGGTAAAGGTACAGGTATGGGAAATAGGGAAACAGGGAAAGGGGGAAACGGGAACTGGCGGTAACTTTTTTACGGAAGCGGCTCAGGTATAGAAGAGCCAAACCAAAGAGTCACGTCACGCGTGGGTGCCCCCCCAGTGCCCAGTGCCCAGTACCCAGTGCCAGCACCCAGGTTCCAGTTCCAATTGCAAGTCTTGGCAAGTTGAGCCCTAAACCCCGGGCCAAGCCAGGCCGCGGCCAGGGCCCAGACCCGAGAGATAGCGTACTTAACGCTGTTGAATAATTTCCACACAACCACGAAACCCAATTGAAATTAGAGCCCAGTCACAGAGCCACAGTTTCAGAGCCACAGACCTGGCCACCACATGTCGCCGCTGCTGACTTTGCCACTAACAACCTGCCGCCTCTGTCCCACCAAAGAGATCTGGTGTAAGCCAAGTGCATTTTCATTTCCATTTCCATTTGCCTTCTCTGTGTCTGTGTGTGTGTGTGTGTGTGTTTATGTACTGTATCCGTATTTGTGTGCTACTCATAATGCGGAAGATTGCACCAAGTTCACTTGGTTCCTTTCCTTTCCTTTCCGTTCCGTTTCGTTCCGTTCAGCTCTGTCTCTGCCTCTGTCGACTCCGTTGTTTATCTACTCTCTGAGATCTCAGATCTTGAGGTTTCTGCGTTCTGTACTTTGGCTGGCAACTTTTTAACACAATTTAGCGGCGTCTCAGCTGAGAGCTGAGAGAGCAACTGGATCGAGGGGGGCGGGCGAGCGGCTTCGGGGGAGTGTCAGAGGGTGCCACAGCCCTATAACGGGCTTCTTGTTCGGTTTTCTTCGGTTACCCGTGGCCTGCCTGTTGCTGCAACCAGCCACACAACAAGTGCCGCTGTAAACAAATTTAATTCCCATTTACTTTCATTATAATTATCTCCACCACAAAGACTGGCTAAAACAGCAGACCCGTTCTAGCTTATCAACAAATTAAGCAATGTCAAATCGATTGACTAAGTTTCTGTTGGCCTGACGCACATCCATCCATTTATGAATGAAGTTGAAAATAGCTATTGAAATTCTTATCAATAATTAAACCACAATTTGGGTTATATCATTAAATTGATTTTGTCCCGGCTGATAGCAGTTCCTTATCAATCAGATTGTGCATTTCTTTTATAAGTCTTTGTTAAGAAGTTCTCGTAACTGGCGACAAATTATAATGGATAATTATATCCAAGGGTTATGTTTATTTTTGTGTGGAGTGGGAATTTAATTTTCATTATTTTTCTTCAGCTTTTGTTTTCTTTGCCTCTGCCTCGGCAACCCCTGCAAAAAAAAACCTACGTCTGCCCTCACTCCTCCCCCCACAGCAACGAATAGAAATTGGATGTGTGCGCCTGCGCACATTTTGAAAATTACTTTTGGAAAATACAACATACATACATACATGCATACATTGGATGTTTTCTTTCATGTTTGTTATTCTTGTGGGTTTCTTCGTGTTTGTTGATGATACAATGACGCTGCGTCTGGCAGCTGTTGTCTGTCGTCGGTTCTGGCTGGGAGTACCACTGGGAGCGGAGTACTCCCATATCCCATATGAACGCCTGGATGTCTAACGTTTTACTTCCTGCACTTCCGTCTGCCACTGCCACACAATGCCCACCGATTGTTTGGGAGATCTCTTTTTGCAGCTTTTCAAATATTTTACGAGCATATGCAGATGAGATTTACCTGTTTGGAGACACGACAGGTGTGCCGACTCCAAGCTTTACTTCCGTTTCCGTTCGAGTGGCGATGTCAGCTGATAAAACTTGGCCCGCTAGTTCTTTGGTAGTGCTTCAATTTGCCAAGTTTCTGCTTTTGTTGCAAATACTCGTAGTATTCGTAGTGCTCGTTGTGCCCGTATCTATCGTATGATGCGGACTGTGAACCCAGACTTTGAACCAAAGCAGGGTAAAACAGGGCTCTTTGCTTCTGGTTTTTCTTACAATTGTGGCACTTGTCACCGCCACTTCTGTGGCCTCCCCCTGTTACCCTCTTCTGTTGCCCATTTTGTCATCAGCTTCTTTTATTGTTATGTCCGCTGCGTAGAACAAGTGGAAGCTTTGTTCGACAACAACAACCACAACATCAGCAGCAGCAGTAGCAGCAGCAGCAGCTGGTAAAAAAAAACGTTAAGTTTACACGACTCCCAACTCCCAACCGCTCACGGGGTCGGGCGGGGTCTCCTCTGGTGGTTGCTGTTGTTGTTTCTTCAGTTGTGGGGTTGACATTTGACAATAAAGCAAATAATCATGGGAAAAAACCAAAGTGCCCCGAGAAGAATACCTTTTCAAAGTATTATAATCGGAAGAAGATCAACAAAAGTTAGATGAAAGCATTCAAAGAATGGAAACCCAACAGCTGAAAGGCGAAATCAATTAAGTTTATAATGACTTATGTGATTCATAGCTTACAAAGTCAGGGGATCTACATAATATGTAGTTTAGAAGCCATGCTAATATATCTACTATATCTGATGGATATGCTGCATTCACTTAAATCATAATCCTACTGATGACAGCCCCATTCAATCGGTTCTAATGCGTTGTTCCGTGTGATTCATAGCTTAGGCAATCCCCATAATCGAACCGATTCATTATTCTTTTTAACCAAGATTTCGACGATATTACTGATATGCTTCATTGTGCCTAGTTCCAAGTACTCTAAATGATTCATAGACTTACAGGCCTAGCACATTGTACAATTGTATGTACAGTGTGAACTTATGTATTACTGAAACTGACCTATCAGAAGCGCCCCCCGTTTTGATTCGCAACCAATCACCATCTATCTTATATATTTGCAGTTTTCATATTATCTATTATCAGTCTTATCGATTGTCGGGAGCCACCTATAAAGCAACCCCCATCGCGATTGATAGTTCAGTGGATAGTTATAATTGGAGCGAAACGAAAGTCTTGGATCGATTGAAAGTGTCAAGCCAAAGAGTCCAGTGTCAAAAGGTAAGCCATCAGAGGTCCTAGTGTTAAGGAAAGAGAGTTATGCAAACGAAGGAAAATATATTGGGGATATATGAATGTTTTTTTCCACTGCCAATTTCACTACCATAGAGCGTACCATTCATATCAAACATAATAAATATAAATCTAAAGATAGGGTATAGAAACTTCCGTAGCAGACATTTGGACCACTCAAAGAGAGCGAGAGAGGAAAAATTCTCAAAACTCAACGCAGAAATGAGTCTGAGAGATACTTTTGGCAACAAACTCACACTTGGAGAGACACACTCTCCTCGCTCTCTCGCTCTTGAGTTGTTTCCCTAACGAACGCGAAACGCGCTCAAAAAATCCAATACCGAAGGCAATCGCACTCAAAATTATTCCAACTGGTTTGAGTGAGTTTTTTCCCGAGCGAATGAAGAGTGAATTTCTCGTGACAGAAATTTTTCGGCCGAAAGCGGGCGATTTGAAAGATACAAAGATACATGTTTCGGCCGCGGACAAGGAAACAACAGAACTATGTCGAATTTTTCTCTGAATTCAGAAAAGTCCGTTGATAATATTGATAATTTCGAGAAATAGAAAATCACATAAAAACGATATAATTCAACATCCCTAGCAAACGGTCGCGCGCGTATCTGCTATACGAAAAGATATTACAGCACCCCCGGGAGGGAATTATTGATAAAATAAATATAAATATAAAGTGCAGATTGAGTTTCCGATTTGGATTTGAAGTTTGGATTGAGATCAGACGGTTTTTGTGTGGTAAATAACTGAGCGAATTTCGAATTTCATCAGTCGGAGTAATTGTTCCATCCATCAAAGGATCGCGAATCCCTGATCCGTGTTAAAGGACTTTCGATTCCGTGAACGGAATATCAAAAGTGAGTGCGGGCACTGCCCGTAAGGAACTTTGCACAAAAAAAAAAACACAGCAACGGCAACAAAAACAGCCGGAGGAGCATCATCATAGACAACGGTTGTCCCTCCCGCCCCGTCTCTCGGTCTTCGTTTGTGCCACCCGACCGGGCTGCATACAACCCAACAACTTCAGTCTACACTTGATATATATACAGATATATAGTATATACATATACGTATATATACAAAATATATATAAAACAAAAACGATCGATTCTCGTGTGCGCGTGTGCGAGTGTGTGAGTGCGTGTTGCATATATAGAGCCGACGGTTGCGACGACTTTGCTATATAATCGGGTGTGCGGCTACGCACACAAATACAGACAGATACAGATACACCCATCGCTGCTACAGATACAGCTGCAGATACATGAATATATATGCATGCGTGTGTGTGTGTGTGTATATATCTAGCCAAAGTAGAAGATATATATGCGTATAAGCTGAACGCGGCGCACTCTGCTCTGTTTTTTCTTTTATAATTACTTTTGGCTAAAATTAGAAAACGTGTGTGTTGCGCCAGTGAGTGTGTGTGTGTGAGTGTGTCTGCCTCACTAGTACTAGTATCTGTGTCTGGCTATATCGCTGGTACATCATCATCATCATCATCATCATAGTCGTCGTCAGAGACGATGTCTTCTGCGGCCGTGTGTGTGCCAGAAAACACTCGTCGCCAGTGAATCAGACTACGACTACGGCTACGGGCTATATAGACATCGGGCGAAGATCGCGTATACGGCCAGACAAACATTATCTTCTATCATATAACTTGCAGCGGCGAGGATAACACTTACAACTCGGCGACGAAGACGCCGCACACACGACCCAACCGATCTCCGATCCGATCCGATTCGATACGATCCGTTCCCGATTCGGCAGCCGAAGCCGAGGCCGAGACCGAGACGAGCCGATCTCTCATATCTCGCGCGCGTGAAAAACCTCGTGAAGGAAAAATCAAACGCCACGCGACCTTACCTCTCTCTCTCTCTCGTTCGATTGGGGGGGCGTGCAGCGGGGCGTGGCCGTGCGTCGACTCCAAAGCGCTCAAGTGAAACGTGTAGCTGAACAACAACAACAACAACAACAAAAACAACAAGAATTCTAAACAAAATTTATTTATTCGAAAGATAGTTTTGGCAAAGTTAAAAAAAGAGAAAAAAACGCGACGGACAAACAAAATGAGTCACCAGCAACAGCAACAGCAACAACAGTATCTGTGGCATACAGCAAAGTGTTAACAAATTAATGCTACAAATAGTGAAAATCAGCAGCAGTCGAAAAAAACATTCTTACCCCCAATTGCATCTCTCGCCCGAGCAATCTGTGTCTCTCTTGCCCCTGCTGTCGCTCAAAATGCTACGAAATTATCGAAAGTATTTGCAGGATAAACGGAAATACGACAAGGCACAACGAGGACGCAGCAGCAGCAGCAGCAGCAGTAGCAGCAGCAGCAAAATTTGTCACGATTAAACGCGATTCAAGAAGAAGGATATACAACCAGCTGGAAACGGAATCCCCAAAGAAGGAGCCACTCCAGAAGCAACTGCAACGGTTAGAACTGAGCTTTTAGCCAGACGAGGAAGATCCTTTCAGATTTTGTACATAAAATCAGGGCAATAGCAACAACAATTTTGGAGGACGCCATGTATGCGCAACATTTGCGCAAATGGAGTCTAAAAACAAAAAAGCCACTAATGCCATTGATATTGCTAATAATCTACGTCAGCAACATGCTGCTGCCGACGACAGCAGCAGCCGCAGTGGCAGCCACACAGCAACAGTTGCAGCAACAACAACCACAGCAACCACAAAGATTATGGGAAGGCAGTGCAGAAGAAAGCAGCTACTATATACCACTGAGTTTGGATAATGGCAGCGGGAGCAGCAGTGAAAGCGCCAAGAGCACTGGCAGTAGTACCAGGGGCAGTGGCAGCAGCAGCAGCAGCCTCAGTAGCAGCAACATCGACAACAATATCTTAAGTAGGCTGCTCAGCCGCACCAGCAATAGTCTTAGTAGCCGTAGCAATCTTAAGTTAAAGCCAGCAACAGTATTCGACGCCGGCAGCAATGCAGCTGTACAGCAACTGCAACAAGAGCAACAGAAGCAACAGCAGCAAGTGCCACATGCTGCTGCCGCCGTGTCAATGCAGCAGTCAATGCAAAAAGTTCCAAATACTTTAATAAATAGTCAAATATATAATTTATTAAACAATGGCAGGCCCAGCGAGGCGGCGAGCAGTAAAATGCGTCGCCATATACCAACAACTCAGCTGCAACAGCAGCCACAGCAGCCAAAGTTGCAACAACCCAGCTTACCGCGGCCCGTAAGCAATTACAGTAGGCGAGCCACGCAAAGCTATCTCATCGAGTCCTACGAAGTGCCAGACAGCCAGATTTCGGATGAGGACAGTCCGGAGCAGGCGGCGCGCAATCGACGAGACGGCAACCAGCGGCCACTTCGCTCCGGCCATCGCCAGCAGCTGCAGCAGGACAAGCGGGATCATCGCCGCCAGCGTCAGCATCAGCGACAGGAGCAGAGACTGCGCCAACACGAGCCCACGCAGAAGCAGCAGCAGCAGCGGAGGAAGCATCCCCGGAAGCACAGGGGACGACAGCGGGCCGGACGCTACTGCTCGGCCCGGGATCCCGCCCAGCTGGCCTACTCGGCGCCCACCGTCTTCCAAGGCGTATTCATCTCCATGTCGGCCGACCGGCGGGTCAACTTCTCGGCCACCATGAAGGTGCTCAAGGTGTACAAGCAGCAGCGGGATCTGCAGCTACCCCAGCTGGTCCGGCTGCAGTTCGCCCTGCGCAACGCCAGCGGCGAGTGCGACATCTACAGGGAGCGGCTGCTGCCGCGGGGAGTACTCCGATCCGGTAACGATCTGCAGCAGTCCTCGGATATATCCTACATGATGTTTGTCCAGCAAACGAATCCGGGCAACTTTACCATCCTCGGCCAGCCCGTGCGGGTCACCCACTCGGTGATGGAATCGGTCAAAATGGCTGTGAGCGAAAATTATGGTGAGTTGATTTCGATTTTGAACTATTCTTAGATATATGATAATTGGATTACTCTTGGCGGGTTTAACGGAGTAAGGATATTTTCCTCAGAGAAATGTGATGTTAGGAAGTGAATATATTTGCTCTTGGATCATTGAACCCCCGCACACAATAATAATCTCTGAAAAATCGTTATAATTTCCATTATTTTCAAACCAAAAAACCTTTGAAAAATCTTATGTTGGACTGTCCCTCCCTGTCTCTTGCTCTTTTTACTCCTTTCTTTTGGGTTTCCTCTCATTTCCTTTCTTTCACTCTGTCTCTTTTACACCCGCTGATGCAGCTGCCTCTTTCTCCGCGCTGCTGCTGTTGTTGTTTAATGAAATTTAGCTGCTTTTTTTTTGTTTTGCTGAATTTCTTATTTGCCAACTTCACGCTCTGCTAATATTCACCAGACCGAAATAATTTTATGCAACACACACACACACACACACACATGGAACACATGAACATGGATAGCGTTGCGCATGCGCCTGCCCGATGCAACTTTTTGCTGAAGCTTCTGCCGGTGTGCTCCAAGTGCAGGGCAGGTCTAGGCCTCGTCTTGGTCTTCTTCTGGGATTCTTTTGTGCCTTCCCTCAATTTGGTTGCTGGGCAGCGGCAACAAAAATGCTCACATTTAGAATTTATAATACCCTCACTATCCGGAAGGAGATGATGCCATATCCGTTCCGATATGGTATATCCAGTACATATAGTAGGCCGCTGCAATAGAGAATTGCGAGAATAAACCCTAATCAATATCATATAGATATATTTACATACATATGTACATCCATATATATGTATATAGCTGCCGTGAATATTCTATTATATTCTGGGCTATCAAAAGGGTATCCGAGTCTGCGGCATGGCTTTCCTTCCTCTGTTGATATTCGTATTGTTGCTGCTGTTGCTAGTTGCACATTTTAATTAAATTCGCATTAACTTTGCTCGCTGCTCGGCAGCCCCCTCACACTCACACTCACACTCTTCCACCGCCCTTACCCCACGGTTGGGAAAACTTTGAAAACTCATTTCTGGTCTCTCCAGCTCTTCTCTTCTGTTCTCTTCACAGAGATCCAACTTCACATCGTCATCGTCATTGCTGTTCTTCTGCTTTTGCTTGGTCTTTTTGTTGTAGTCTCTGCAGTCGACCTTTGCGGTTGGGAGACGGAGACCCAACCCTAAGTTCTGCTTCTTCTCTTCTCTCCCCCCTCTGCTTCCTTCTTATTATACAGTTGTTGTCAGCTGTTGTTGTTGTTGTTGTAATTATTCTTGCGTTGCGGTTCATGAAGTTTTGCGTCTGGAAAGGCGGCTAAGTGCGATCAACCGACCGCCTGCCTCCTCCCCCGTCATACTCGGCCTTTGCTTTGCTTTTGTTTTTATTTATTTACATTTGTCTCCCTCTCTCTCTCGCTCGCTCACTCTCATTATCTCTTGTATAAGCCTGTCTCTGTCCTTGTTTCATTGCGGGCGCAATTAGATTTTTAATTCATTTTCCCCCTCTCCCTGCTCTCTCTATCTCACCCGCTGCTGCTTCTTTTTTCTCTTTCCTTTTGCTGCGGCTGTTTCAGCTTGAGCTTCTTCCGTCATGGTTCCCGCACACCGCACACCGAGAGAGGATGTGAGTGAGAGGGCGAGCGGGTGGGTGGCCAAGCCTGGGCTTTGTTTGCCCTCTCCTCCTCAAGCACACACACACACACACCAGACTCCACACTCCACAATCCATATTCCGTATCATGGATGATTTGGTTGGATTTCGGAAAGTGGCGTTTAAATAGGGTGGGAGCCCTGTGGCTAGGAGCACTTTCTGGCAATGCCCCACCTTATTTTAATACACTTTGCCTTGAGCTTTGCCTTCTGCTCGCCTGCTCGCCTGCCCGACCCCTCTTCCAGAAGCAGCCCTTTGCTGATCACAGAAGATGAAGATCCAAAATCAGCTGCAATCAGCTGTTCCCTCGCTCCTTGTGTCCCTGTCTCACTCTCGCACTCTTTGTCTTTTGGGGTTTATTATCTTGTGTTTATTTACTCTTTGCATTGCTTCTGTTTCTGCTTCTGCTTCTGCCTGTGCTTCCTTCTGCCTGCTTCTTCTTTGGATTCCTCCTCTCCCTGTCCATCATTTGGCTTCGCCTGCCTGGCTGCTGCTCCATCAATGAATGGGAATGGAAATGGCCAGTGCGAATGAGTGGGACAGAATAAGAGCAGCCCATGCTGAATAACAGGATATTTACTTTTTGTTTCGATTGATTTATTTTGCTTTGACTTTGATTTGGCGTTGCTTTTGTTGCAGACGCAGCGAATGTTTCGGGGATTTGCATCGGGTAGCGGTAGCGGAACTGGTAGCCGGTTTCCAAAACGTAGGGGTTGGTTGGGCTCTCTATAAAAAGCGATTACTCATCAAAATGCATACTAATCAATCGCTCACCCCACCCACTCAAAACGCTTCTGTGGAGATCTACTCCTTTCACTTTGGATAACGCAAATTTGCCAATTTCTTTGGTCCCAAAGTGATTTACATATGGGGCCATAAAGTCCGAAGATGATGTCTGAAATCGTCAGCCAGATCGATACAAATCTGAGCCCCCAATCAGAGTCACCAAAAGAGATAAAAACAAAAAAAAACATCGAATAGATCAATCAAAAACTGACTCAGTTTTTGGGTTTCTGCTACCTGAAATCCATTGGTGTTATGCGGGGGGAGATGCAAGGGGCCATTTACGAGTATTATCCATACGCCCCGTGTGACGACGCTCTGAGCTCTGCTCACGGGAGCTCTGCTTGAAACCAATTAAAATGCCTTCGAACCTGACTGAATCGGTAGTATCATGAATTAACTGGTCGCATTTTATGCCTAATTTACACCCACGCCATGAACGTCAGTTCTTACCAAATATAACGCTCCACTCCACTCCGCTTCAATAAATGTGACTTGGAATATAACAACAACAAAACACAACCCCAAAAACAATGAAAAGGCCATGTGAAAAATAAATAAAAATCACAGGTATTTTTGTTTTTGGTTTTCGGGCTATTATAGTTTTTTTTGTTCCCCCTCTTTTCTTTTTTTTGGAACTGCTGATTGCGGCTGCTGCTGCTGCTTCTGATGTTGATGCTGTGTTGTTGTTGTTGTTGAGGTGTTAAGTAAATTAGCTGCTCATAAAACATGATTTGATCTGGCAGAAGTCCGCGTCAAAGCAGAATGGGCAGCCCATCTTCTCGGATATTTGTTTGTTTGTTTGACCAAAAGCGGAGACAAACGGGCACAAATCAAATCTACTCGCACGCGGAAGGTGTACGAACATTATACACAGATATAGATGTTTATACCCTACCCTACCCTACCCAGATGTGCTCCCATGGCAAAGCATTACCAACCCAATGTAGCTTCGATATTTGTGGGGTTTCCACGCTAAAATAGTTTCACAGTTTAAGAGCAATCTTTCCCCCCCCCCCAGACCCTATATTTGCGGAAGGTATTTTAGGTGCAAATGTATAGACAGAACATCAGCCCCCTTAGCTACCCTTTCCTTCATGTTATATGATCGCTATGAACAAGTATATTTGTCAGGGATAGGTGTTTTATGTGTGTATTATATAATGCTTTCCCACTTATGCTGCACTCAGCATTGAATATTAATTTTATTTGCGGTTTGCCTCTTGTCACATTGCCAAAGCAAAATAATAATCTGTAGAATTCATAGATTTCATTGAGTAAAGCAATACCTGAGAGAAAACCCCCAGAGAACCTTGACAGCGGGTCTCCATTTCCCGCAGCAGAGCATGGGATGGATGGATGGATGGATAACTGGCGACTCTTGTTTCATTTGTCAGTCGCCCCATCTCATGCTCTCGCAGTGGTGGCTCTCTCTGGTTGCACTTGTTGCTTCTGTTCTGAATACTATTCGTACTCGTATGTTTAGCAAGCGATTACAAAATGAAAAGAAAGAAAATGCTTTGCCAGAGCGGAAAATGCTCTGCACCGTTCGTATATTTAGGTCAACGCCTACGAGTAGAAGCGACAAACTTACTCAACGGCACCCACAATTCATCATTTCTCCTCATCTTTTCCTTCGTTTGGCTTTTTTTTGTTTTGTATTTCGTGTCATTTTGGGGGTGTCTGGTCTACCTGGTCATAAGATTTTAATACATTTTCCTCTCGCTTTTTGGGAAAATTGTGGGTGAAGTGTGGCGGGGGGCGGTGTTCATTTAGCGTCACGCCAGAGAAGATCCAACGACGACTGAGACAACTTTTCGTTAGCTTTTGTTTGCTGGTTTTTGGTTGTTTTTTTCTTTGTTTTTTTTCTTTTATTTTTTGGTAATTAAGTATGAATGGCGGCGCTAGACGACGAACCTTGGTTCATTTAGGTATAGTACTCGAAAGTGTAAAGGGTAGTCCCAGTCTCAGTTCCTCTCTTTGGGTAGGGGCCCCTCTGGGATTCAGCTGGGACTGCGGGGCTGCCTGGCGGGCTGTTTGGCATGCGGGAAATAGAAAATTATAACGAAATGAAATTTTCAAATGGCATGCCATGTTGTTTCCTTGCCCTGCCATGTCTTGCCGCGATCAGAGTCGCCTCGCGACTCGTCGGTTGCCTCGTTTATGAGTTTTATGCTATTTCTGGCCGCGCCGACAGCAGCAACATCACGCAGCTGAAAGCCATTCGAGAGTAGGAAGACATCTTGGCCGCCATAGACTTGCCAAAAAAGCAAAAAAAAAAAATAAATAAATAAAACCAACAAAAAAAATGAACAGAACAGAAGCCGCCTATGAAAAAAAAAGTCAATCGAAAATATAAAGAAAATCTTATGCTTGTTAGCCCTGGGCCTGTGCTGTGCTTGCAATTTGCATCCATCGGTTGCATCCATCGTGGCGCTAATGGAGCAATCTTGGCCGGATGGAGCAGCAGCCAAAGCAGCAGCAGGCCAGCCGATCAATGGAGCCCCTCTGTTGCATAGCGGATGTGACATAATCTGATCGCCATGAATACGAGGCGACTGCGAGTACGATTATATAGCCAAAATGGATAAAACGCCTGGCATTCATGGGCCATCAATGGATCAGTGTGGATCTTTGTGGCTCTATGGATCTGCCAGATCTGTGTCGGCGCGATATCAAAGGAAAGACCTAGGCCCCACAGGTGGCGCTTCCTCAAGCTGGTCATTATTTTAAGGGTTTTTGGAGCAACACGAACATTGGATACCCTTTTGCAACAACCAATCAATGGGTGCTGATTGATGGACCGGACCACTTGAGAGGTGGAACACGAAATGGACCCAAGGTATAACCAACATTTCAGTGGCTGCTGTTCTTTTGCGTCTTATCTATTGGCCAAGTTAACATACCCCTTTTAGCAAAGCCGCCACTTCAAACACTTCAAGCAGCACCACCTCAATTAGCCATTCAGCATTTGCGTTAATTTTCGCGGCACTTGCGGCACATTCCAAAATACCAAAAACACCAAAGAGAAGAAGTGGAATATACATATTTATGTATGCATGTATAAATACATGGCCTGAGAAAGATAAATGATAAGAGATCTCTTCGGACGGACTAATTGTTTCGCCTGGCTGTTAATTTCTGCCCGCATAATCGCACTGCCCTCGGGGCCACCTTCTGCTCCACAAAAACAAAAAGAAGGCTTCAACAGTTGCGCACGCGGCCAAGATTAATGGATAACCCACCAACGGACAGACGGAGAGACGAGCCAACCGATCGACCAACCGAAACAGAGATACATAGCTATTGATTGATATTTGAAAAGTGATTTTGGTTCGTAGTCGGCTTGGACTCATTATTAGTTTCCCATGGAACATTTTCACAGCTAATGATTGGATGGATGGATGGATGGATGGAAGCACGAGCTTCCCAGCAAGCCAGCAGGCCAGCCAGCCAGCCAGCACCCAAACTATATACTTACTCGTATTCCAATTTTCGGCGTAGTACCCAAAAGTCATTTCAATTTGCGTTGGCGGCTCCACTGCTTTGAACTCGATCGGTGGGCGGGAGATGGTTTGGTTGGCCAAAAATCGTTTCTCTAGTTTCGGGGGCATTTCAGGAAAGAAACTAGGCTAGGCTTCGAGTCTGCAGTCTTTTCAGGCAGTCTCTGCACAGAGAGCAGTGCTCTCCTTCCCCCTGCCCTGGTCCTGTCCAGAACTTGAAGCTTGGAGGAGCCTTCTGCTGGTCGCTGGCTGGCTGGCTATCTTAATTACGCATTAATTACATCAAACATTAATAATTCCACATGCCAGCGGAGCGTCTGCTCATCTATCTACTTCAGTGGCAGCAACACCTCCTCTATCTTTGCCTTCTGCTTGGTGTTGCCTGCCCCTTGGTCTTGGTTCTTGGCTCTTGGTCTCGGTCTCAGTCTCAGTCTCAGTCTCTGGTATCAAGGCAGAGGCTCCTCCTCTGTATATTAAACTGTCTGTCACCCCCTTCCTGCCATCCCATACCATCCAGCACTCTGCATCAAATTGCAAGCCATCGTCTTTCTTCGGATCTTTGGATCGTTGGTCTGTCTGCCGCTTGCCACTTGCCGCCCGCCTCTTGCCACTGCGCTGTGGCTGCCCCTGCTTGCGCCCTGCCAAGTTGAAAAATTTGCCTTTGATATCGACTGGTGGCATGCCACATACTACTCGTACTACTCTACTCGTATGCGTTCGGGCTGCTCCTCTGGCAACTGCCTCTGGGCCCCCGCTGCTGTGGGGTAATATTTTCTTTTTAGCTGACGACTTAGCCGATTTCCCGATCATAATCGCCCTCGATCCGGCTGCCAGAGCCAGAGGCTGGCATGAAGAAGCTGTTTGGCTCTTTGGCACTTTGGCATTTGTCTGGTCCAGTGAATGGCTTAATCTGGCGAGTGTTGATTCAATAATTCCCCACCAAACTGTTTGGAGAAATCTGGGAAGCGAATCGGTCGCCCGCCTGTCGTCGGATACCTGCGTGGGAAAATCTCTCGTTTCCTGGACTAATCTGCGACCGCCCTAAAGAGTCAGGTTCCAAAGGTCCAAACGGACAGGTAACTCACGGTGACTGGCCACATGTTTGGCCGGAAATTCCCGTGCGCCTCCTGTGTGCTGCCTCTGACCTCGTCCTGTCATTGTCCTTATGACGAATTCGTCATAATTCGTTCCCATCCCTACTGCTTTCGGGGCATTTCCAGCATTTGCTTGCCCTGAAAAATGCTACATATATGAAAAAAAAAAGTGTATTATTAGCAGAAGAAGCGTCCCACCAAATTGCATCCAATCATGGCCAATATCTGCCCAGCCTCAGCCACTGTACCCCCATCCTCTTCTTTTCGTTCGGGCTGCTGCCGGCCGGCCGGCAAGGTGACCGTGTGCTAAAACAAAATTTTTATATCGAAATTGCCGCTGGTCAACGCGCGCGCCTGCCCAATGGCCACGTTAAGCGCGTGTTGGCCTTTTTGGTTCCCAAGCTTTGTTTGCCACAAGGCACAAGCACAGATACAGATACAGATCCATTTACAAATACACACATACACACACACACACACACACACAACAAGAATCACACACAGATACAGATACGGCCCCGCTCAGACAAGTTGGAGTTGCATTTTTAGCAGCATTTTTGTGCGGCATTTTATTCGTCGCCGCTGGCTACAAATTTGTGCTGTGGCAAGCTCCGAACAACAGCGGCAGCCCAGCCACCACGTAGTGGCCACTGCCACTGGTTGGCCACCAACTTCAGCCGCAGCTTCACCTTGTGCCCCAAAAGCTATTTAAATGGTATTTAAATGTGTCTAAAAGTAATTTTTTTGCGCATTTAATTCGCATTTTTTTGTTCGTCCAGTATTTGGCAAAGCACTTAACGACATTTATGAGTATATTTCATGGCAAATGGAAACGAAACGTCAGCGAATGCCATGCCTGACATAATGCGTCATAATTGAAACGTTTTTTGTTGTTT